TAGTCTGATTTATTTATTTCTCTTTAAATTAGGATTTATTTTTCTGTTTCATCATATTTTGTTTTGCACTGCATCGAGTCATGTTTCATCGCTCATCTGGGATACATCATGGGATTTTTCAAAGGATTTATGGAGCTCTTCTACGATGATTTTCTGGTAGAAACTAAGAGAGAAATTACATGGGAAATCAGCATTCCGGCTGTACCCAGGAATTTTCGGGAAAAACAAAGTGGTGGCGCCAGGGACCGGAGAAAGAAATTATGGTAAAGTACTATCTTACCAATCTCTAGGTCGGCGATCGTTGTGGGGTTTATGCCAGCCGCAGCCCGTTGCGAACTCTGGGTTACCACCGAGATAAATTCAAAAATATTTATACCTCCAGAAGAGATGAGTGAGAAGTCTCGTGCATCTACACAAGCACCTATTATAAAAAATGAAATGACTTGAAGTCTATAAATTCAACGGTGAAATTTAGGTAACGTGTGAGGATGGTATTGTATCCTTTTACCAAAATCATTTCTACTCAAGACAACAGCATGGCGAATTATAATTAATAAGTTATTGGGCTCATTAATCAAGAGAATGTGAACCGAGATGCTATTAATTCAATATGAATTATTTATAATAATGGTCTTAGGGGTCCCAGTATTAATTTTTCTCAGTTATGTGTCAGTTGCACTCCTCTCTAAAATACTTGCCGATTTGATTCGCTGTGTTAATCAACAGCCAATTGAAAAGTTCATGTATCGGTGATGAGCCAATGATGGCGTTGACCGGCTTCTTCGCCTGTCTAGAATGGTCATACCACTATTAGCAAACACTTTTCGGCTGGACGCCTAGTTGATAGCATGCAAATTTTTGTCAGCGCTAACTGTTAGTTTTGTTGGATATTTGGCTGCGTAAAACCACAGAGGGAAAGGTTAAGATTTTTTGAGAAATTGTGATTTTTTAAGAATTGCGATTCCATAGAAGCAAATCTGGAATTCATTACTATTGTTAATTTTTTTTTTGTTTTATTGGCCGTGGCGTATCACACCATTTTCTACTTTTGAGATTCTTCCTTTGTTTGAACTTGTTCTGTAGTCATTGTATCGAAGTTAAATGAATTGTTGATTTGTTAACTCGTGATTACTGTCAGAGTTTTTACTTTGGTAAGAAAAACTTAACCGATTGTAGTGACGACTCTTGCCTCTCCTAATTTATGTTCTTGGTCTTATTGTCATTGTTAATATCGATTTTCTTTTGTTCGGTGATTATTAGAATCTCGAGGTCATTGTTTATAGCAAGCCAACGTTACTACACTCGAGCTACCAGCTTAATATCACTGAAGTTTATATCAGTTGAAGTTTTGTATTTTATCACCTTGCCCTAGATTTAGACTTGAATTGGGAAAGGTCCGGTGGCGAAGTCTAGGCTCCTATCCGCAGTGAAAAAAACGCCAAGACACACGATTTGTAATTGATAATGATGGTTCAACTATTTATTCAATACAACACTTCCGTATATAATCGAGGTGGTCCAAAGGAAACTGCAGAGTCTATCCTGTTGGCATTAAAATTGGACACTGAACAATGGTTAAGAGTACTTCTACACACGGCAGCTCTTCGATGATGATCTGCTCCCTTCAGGAATTTGTGAAAGAGGGAGTAGAGGAAGATTCCCCGGCCCGAAAAACGCTTGAATTTATGCATCTCCTCTTCCCTGCGAAACCCCTTTTTTTGTGGGCGCCGGGCTACACGGAGAGAAAAGTCCAAGAAAAATTACTGTGCCGAGCCCTACAATCGTGGCGCAAAATGCTAGAATACTAGAACTTCTTTGATTCACAAATAAAAATTACTATCAATATGTCAAATTTTCTTATACATTCCGTAATTAATCATGTGTGGCTCCATAAA